ACTGCCTGCCGGCTCGACGTTCGGCGAGCGAATGATTGCGCAGCGACCTACAGGTACACGATGGCACGCAAAAACATCGTACGTCACCGCGCCGAGTGGAAAAACAACAAAAAAACATTGAGAATTCGTTGGCCCGCTTAATCGTCGTACGATACCGCGCCGAGCGAACAACAACAAAAAAACGTTGAGAATTCGTTGGCCTGCCTACGCAATGGAAAATTCCGTACTTAATATTTTATTGTACATTACTTTGTTCCGTGACTGTTGCTACGTTTTGCGTATGATTCCGCGGACTTATTGGTATTGATTAAATTATTAACGATTAATTCTGTTTAATCGAGAAAATTATTGGTATTGATTAAATTAACGATTAATTCTGTTCAATCGAGAAAATGTTTTGAAACAAAAATCGTTGTTACTTAAATTCTAATTACTAAGATTAGAGATTTTACCTTTCGTCGCTCCTGGCCATACAGTCTGGCCATTTTGATCAGAGATCAGAAAGGAAGAAAACTCCTTCCATAGTCGGTCTATTATCGTTTCGGGAGACTGTTTTGCGCGCACTTACGCCCATTTTTAATTTTGGAACTATTTTATTACACAATTTCTGACTCTGCCGATAAAATTTCTACTTGGTGCATGTAGGGTGCCGAGGCGAATCGGATCAATTTTTCTTGATCGGTAAAAAAGTTATCAAAAACGAATTTTGTTATTTAATTTTATTAGACATTTATTATCGTTAGACCTTTAGCTTGTGTTTTATATAATATATTAATATATAAAAATAATATTTTTTATTGCACAACGACGAAATGAGGAGAGGAGAATTATTCGATTCGCCCCAAAATTGGGGGCGAAACGGATCACTAGTTTAGGTCTTAAAAAAATGAAAATAATGTAACGAGTTCTTTGAAATTAGCTACAATAGCTAGAGCTATTAATACAAAAGAGCAGCAGGGGCTATTATTTTTGTAAAAATTTTCTGAATTATTTTCATCTCTCCTGAACGTGTCGTACCATTCGGATTCCAATTAATTAATAATTATTATTAACAATTAATTAATAATTAATAAATTATGAGACATCTGTCCGAGTCTATAATTTAATTGTTACTGTGCGATAAGTTTGTACAATCCAGATAAGTCACGCGTGTCTGCATGACGAAAGTGTGTCGGTTACGAATAAGCAGCGACTGCGAGTCGGGCAACGAATCTGTAAATAATCCCGGCAAACCGCGTAGCAGAAGAACGTAAGAAGAATCCCTACGTCGGCAGTTACACGACAATCGGCAATCGGTCGAAAATAATAGGCGGAGGACGGTGGTGTGGGCGAGCACTTCTGATCTTCGAGTCGACCGCGCGAGACGCGGAGAGACGGCCTGAGGTCAGAGAAAGGGGATGGAGCGTGCTTATCGCGCATCGTCTCTCCGACTACCCCGCGGAGAACCTCCCCTCTTCGTCGGCCACCTCGAAACTCCGATCTCAACCACCTTTTCCTCTCGTTCGCTCCTTCCCGCTTGCTCCTCCGGGTTTCTGCATTCCTCCCTGTACCGAAAGCGCCTCCAGCTGACGTTTGCAGAAAAAAAGGAAGAAGAAGCACGAGACTAGCATGTTGCGAAATGTGTGTGTTTTCGCTATTTGAGACAGGACCTCGCTAATTTAGCGCAATAGGAAGTGCGATGCGAGGAGGATCATCGAAGAGAAATGACTAAGAGCAGACAACGTCTAATTATATGCGTACTTCTCGCGAGATTCTTTACGGTACCTTCTTCTTCTGTTTTTCGATCCATGACGGGATACATTTCTCTCGTTACAGTTTCCGGACATTCTCTGCCGGAGTCATTGCCGGCTGCGCCTCCGAATATTTGACAACGTTACTTCAAATGATGTCACGAAACCTTTGACGTAATCACTCTCTTAACCGAGCGATATCTGAGAGCTTCTGCATAACACTTGTGATCGATTTTGTCGTCGTTTACCGAGCCATCGCTGAGCAGTTACATACGACGAACATCTTTCTTCGCGACACTTCCTTTTTACGCCATCAATAATCTGGTATTTCCTAATCAGGACAAATTATGTTGTTTAACTTTGCTTCCTTGCTTAACTAACGAGATAACAAAATTACCCTGGCACAGGTATCCTGTTTTTCCATCAAATTTTATATTTCTAGTCATTTTTTTTTGTTTCATGTAATAAGACCAAGGTTGGATAGTGTCTAGTTAAAAAAATAAAAATTAAGTTAAAAAGTTAAATAATTTTAACTTAATTTAGTTACATTATAGACTGTTAACTTTTAACGGAATTTAGTTACATTTTATCGGTCTCTGAGATTTTATGTAAAAATAAAACATTTAACTTTTAACTTTTTAATTTTTTATCATTAACTTAACTTTTAATTCAATTAATTGTATCACGGATTAACCTGTATCTTAACTAAGTTAAATTTTCAAGACTGTTAACTTTAACACTTAACTTAGTTTAAAAAAAAGATAACTTACCTAACACTGAATAAGACTTATACGCAAGCGTAATGTATAATATTGTAAACGATAATTTACAATTTCCTTTCGTAATTTAACAATAAACTATTTAACGTAAGTGAGAGAGAGAGAGAAGAAAAATAAAAAATCTTTTATTTTCTCAAGATCATGTCAGTTTAACATGCACTAACATGCGAAACACGGAGCTGCGTCGAGTGTAAGTTCTTTTATTCAAATCGATATATCCGAAGGTTCTTCCCTTGTTTTCTCTTTTCTTCAACGTGTCCGATTGTTTTCCTCCGCGGAGGAAATGCGACGAGTATTTTACGACAACGCGTAAATAACCGTTAGTTTTAAAAGCCGGTGTGTGGGAGATGTAGTAGCGATATCGATAGAATGCAGTCGTCGCATGAAGAGAATGCGCCAGGAAACGAATTGTACAAGGAGCACGTCGAGTGATGCGGCACAGTCCGGTATTCCCAATGCTGTTCCCAGGCCCGATGACCTGATTGTTGCGGTTCGGAAAAAGCGCATTAAGAATTGCCTATGAGGATATCAATTTGCACGATGGTATCGCTAAAGTATCGGCATTGTAAACTTAATTATTTAAAAATAATTAACGCCTAATGAGTGTATGTCAAATCCTTTAAAAGACAAAATACTGAATTTCGAACAAGTTAAATCACAGTGGACGGATTTTAAATTTAAACGTTAAAAATAATTGTTAACATAAATTATCGTAAAAAGTCTTTAAGAAAATCTAAAATGATTTGATATAAAATTGAGGGTTTTGTAACTTCGAGACGCTCTGAATATATCTAGAGCGAAAATGCTAAATGAAGAATTCGCTCTCGAGAGTACTTAATTAAAGAGCGATACACGTATAAAAGTAAAAAAATCATGAGGTCGCGGGAATCGCTTAATCACGTCGAAATGCGAAAATAAAAACTACATCCCCAATCGCGGTACAATTAATTATAATGCTGTTAATGAGATCGCGAGTAAATTGGTCTTTCAGGTCATAGAGCGGAGAAGGACCGACCCCGAGGTGGAAGTAACTGAATCTTGCGATGGCGAGTTATACAATATGAAAAGAATGAAGAGAAACGAAATGCAGCGTCTTTTCTTAATTTTAAACTTTAGTCTCATGGCATGCACATATATCTTTAAATATACATCTTCTTTTGCAAGATTTGTCCCCCTTTTGTCTTCTGCCTTTTGTGTGGCGTTTTCGACTATATTTTGCACTCGTGAATGCACATGCACGCGCACAGTCGCGGAATTGTATCTGCACACACGTACACATCGATGCGTGTGTATACTCTTTCGATAAGTGGCCACTCGACACCGTACGAGCGAGACGAACACGTACTTTTCTATTCGTGGCACAATTTTCGGGGGTCGATATATTGAGCGGCGTACTGGTGACTTCAAATTGCGTGGTAGTTAGCGCCTCTCTGTTAGGGACTTTCAGCAAGAGAGTCTAATGAGGAGAAACGGGGGGGAAGACATGAACGGTACATTGTCTTCCTCCAAATATTACTCATGCCAATTTTAACATATTTCTAAAATTCATTAACATCGTTCAGTAATAAGCATCTTTTGATATTGCATAATATTTATTGCCTATACTATAGTAAATTGTCTTAGAAGTACATCTTAGATTCTTTTAGAACTAAAAAATTTTTAACGGGAGATTTTATTTAGTATATTTTTCCAATGCAATTTGTATTTAAATTCATGTACTCTTTGTCGCGGTCAGCAATTCTCTTCCGGGACGAATCGGAACGAATTAAATGGCAAAGCATCAGCGAGGTGTGATCAGAGAAAATAAGAAGATACAATAAATTAGACAAAAGATATAGAAATCTTAAGAATTTAATGCCGGACAAGAGACGCTTGAAACATACTCGCAAACGCGATTCGCGGATTAAGCGAAACGCGAATTGACGAATACAAAATTGTGCCCCGATGACGACGCTGATATGCCGCATTGAGGTAAATTCAAGCGACGTAAACCAATGACACGGGTATCCCGCGGGGGATTACCGCCATCCCCCTTCTTCCTCTCGCCGATCCAGCGCGCGATACTCCAGATTCTATCCGCCGTACGTCATGAGCGAGAGTTACCCCTTCTTTTACGCCAGTACTTCTTCCCTCTGTGCCTCTTAAGTGGAGGAGGAGGAGAAGATGGTGGGATTGGTAGCGGGAAGGTATTGCCACTGTTATACATCACCTTTACAGCCGCCACCACCGCCGCCGCCGCCACCACCACCGCCGATCACCGCCACCACCTCCACGTCGTCGTGGAGCTCGTCTATACGCAACGATGAGGATTCTGCAGATTTGACAAAGTCGTTTCAAGAACTCAGTCGTCGACTGCCCGTCCTCGTAAATTCGGGCCGCCGATTAGGGAGCTTCTGCTCGCTCAACCGCGCCGGGACCCCGCTTCCGGATTATTTCGAGACTCTCACTTTTCTTTTTCTTCTTCTTTTTTTTTCTTTTTACACCTCGTCTCAAGAGTGTGGACTATTTTTCTTTTTTTCCTTTCAGTTTCCTTTTTACGTGTGTCGTTCTGGTCTTCGCGAAAATGCGTTAACGCGAAAATATGTCCATGGAGGAGACACACGGAGGCGGCATGTCTTCCGCGACGCTCTCGTCCGTCTTGCTCCTTCTACTTTTCGGTCGTGCCGCGAATGCTCAGTAAGTAGATTTGAACTTACCATTGAATTACAGAAACCAAATTTTAGGACTGATATATCGAAATTCAAAATGTATATTTTTAGCAATTAATTCTCAGAGGCTAAGTTGAATTCTTCCTTTCTCTCTCTCTCTCTCTCTCTTTCTGCTTTTTCTTAAGCAACGAGATTAAAAAGCCTTATTATACTGATCGATAAAAATTTATTTAATATCAATAGATGAAACTCATGTACTACATTTATCTTATTAAAATAATTAACCAGTCGATTCGTAGCACCATAAAAATAATGTACACATTCAATTATATGTTTAAAAACAAGTGCCATCGCGATGCTCGCTTTGCAGGAGAAGTTTAGAATTTTTCGATCTCCTACCCGAGGATCCTAAATTGTACGACAAAATGCGACCTCCCAAGAAAGATGGCCAGGCAACCGTTGTATATTTTCACGTTACCGTGATGGGACTCGATTCCATCGACGAAAATTCAATGGTAAACGTATTTTAAAAGTGAAATTTAGTTTTACGTTGTGAGTCCAACCTTTCGTTAATGAGAATTTCATAACGCAGCTCCATACTACTCGCTATTAATTATTGTTTACGGAGTAAATAATTATCTCGACGGAAAATTATCCTTACAGACGTATGCCGCCGATATTTTCTTTGCCCAAACGTGGAAAGACAATAGACTCCGATTGCCGGAAAACATGACGTCCGAGTATAGGTACATAAATCCATTGACAGCCTTTGGATAATTTCTATATTTATGTATCGCTTTATTCAGAATATTTTCGTTGCATTTATTAAGACATTTTAGTTTTCCAAAAGTTTCTGACTAACTGTTATTCTCATCTTATTTCTTTCGTAACGAAATTTAAGATTATTAGAAGTCGATTGGTTGAAAAACATGTGGCGGCCGGATTCCTTCTTTAAGAACGCAAAGTCGGTGACTTTTCAAACAATGACGATACCGAATCACTATCTGTGGCTGTATAAGGACAAAACCATTCTGTACATGGTGAAGTGAGTTTATGGAAAATCATATCTCTGCATTGATGTTTCCCAAGTGAAATATCGGCGAATATTTTTTTCAGATTGACTCTAAAACTTTCTTGCGCCATGAATTTTCTGATCTATCCCCACGATACGCAAGAGTGTAAACTGCAAATGGAAAGTCGTAAGTTATCGTTAAAAAAAAATTTATTCCAGAATCATCATCGCACCTTAACAAATTATGCTACATGTGCAGTTATCTTTTATAATAAAACTACCGTAATTTTTACCGTCGTGTCTCTCAATATATTGTATTTAATAATTGACTTTAATTAAAAATTGGGAGAATGTATTCATAGTTACCAAGAAAATTAGTTTAAGTACTATTATGGTGATGAGTAATTATTAATTACTTGGGTAATTATATATAATTATTCATCTAATATGTTATAAATATAATAGAGAAACTAATAAGAATATTTTTCGAGTCGCCAGCAGTAATTAACAACTTCAGTATTTTCTTGATCATATCTGGCATTTTTAATAATACAGAACATTTATTGCGAAAAATATTACCTCAGCCAGGGTTTGAACCTGGACTAGGAAGTCCCTACACTCTAGGCGTCATATGGTCAAGAAAATACTGAAGATATTAGAGAAACTTTACATTTAACTTAGGCTGCTTTCCTTTTAGGAGACACAAATCGACACAAGTTAACACACTCGAGCATAGTTTGCCACCGTGAAATGGCAAAGATTTAAAGAACAAGATTTTAAGAAAAGGCTTTGTCGAAAAAAGATACTATCGAAATACTCGGACCGGGTGCGTTCTTCGGTCAAAGACACACTCCGACTCTCCTCCCGAGCAGAGTCGAAAAGTGTCGATTGAGTTTGAATTAAATTTTTAATGGTAAGCGACGTGTGTCGATTTGTGTCAAAAATCTCGACTGTGTTCTCTCAAAGGAAAGCAGCCTTAATTACTTAAACTGTGTTAAACGAGTAATTAATAAATTATGTATGGCGTCGATCGAGTACCACGCGTATTTCGTGTCTCACGGCGAAAACAAAACAACTTGATCGACAGTGTCGCACACGACGGACGAAATGATCTTCCAGTGGGATCCCGACGTTCCCCTTGTTGTGGATGAAAATATCGAGCTGCCGCAATTGCAACTCGTTAAAAACTATACAGCCGACTGCACGCAGGTTTATTCCACTGGTAAGTAAGTTGCGTATATAGCCATCTTATCTTGAGAAAAAAAAAACGCTGCACGTTGTATTCGACGTATTCTCGTCGTATAATCAGTCGCTTCGCGTACCATGTAATATAGACGACATCTGCAATCAACCTTTTCAATCAATACTTTCGGCCCTTTCGAGACCGCACGCGTGTTATTCCAAGCCGCGAGAAATTCTTCGACCGACCGCCCATGCGTTGATATCACTTGAGTTTAATCTGACAATGGGCTAAATGCCGAGCACGGGCGCTTTTTATTGTAGATTGCGTCGCAATTTTCAGGTAACTTCACTTGCCTCGAAGTCGTGTTTGTGCTGAAGCGACGTCTCGGCTATTACCTGTTTCACACTTACGTGCCGACGTGCCTGATCGTCATCATGTCGGTGAGTGAGGCGTCGGGAGAGTTTTCGCCGTAAAATCGAAAAAATACTCTCGCCACTCTATTTTTCATTAAAAAAAAATACCGCAGTGGGTATCGTTCTGGATAAAACCCGAGGCCGCGCCCGCCCGAGTCACCCTGGGAGTCACCTCGTTGCTCACCCTCTCCACGCAGCACGCCAAGAGTCAGGCCTCTTTACCGCCCGTTTCATACCTGAAGGCCGTCGACGCCTTCATGTCGGTCTGCACGATCTTCGTGTTCATGGCGCTGATGGAGTATTGTCTGGTGAACATCGTTCTCGGCGACTCGGATGCGCCCGCAGCGAAACCCGCGCCTCCGCCGCCGCCGCCGTCCTCGAGCACCGCGGACTCGGCTAAGCTCGACAAGATCTTCGATATCGCTGCCAAGGTAACGCATGGATGGCGATTGGATGATCAGGGAGCCCCGAGAATCGATTTTAACAAGAGATAATCCATCGTACTTTATCGCCGTCAGTATGGACCAATTGGTTGAGATAGAAACATCCGACAAAAACCCACAGAAGCACCATTGCAATATTAAATTCTGCTTGAAATGTCGGAAAACTGTTGTTTCGTGAGTCTATATGTTAAAAAGTGTTCCGTCACGATTGTTAAACTTGATTCCAGGCTCTTCCGTCTTGGGACCACTTCCGTGCCTCGAATAGGGAAACGAAACAAGCACGCGAGGCAAGCATTGTTGTCAAAGAAAATTTATTTGTAGCGGGTTTGCAGCTTTAAAAAAATATTAATAACGTATAAATTGCTAAAACCTCTAAGAGTGTTCCACGTCGAGTTGTTTCAGAAAACTTTTAAACTCTCGGTAGTTAAGTACATACATTTCGCTATCATTGTTCGTCCAGTTTCAATCGTGTCCCACTCTCTTCGAGGCACGGGGGACAGTCTGCATGATGACGGTTCAAGTTGTGATCGTTGTCACGCAGGAAAACGCAATGTTGTTATCCTGCCGATCGCAGAAATCGCCGGCTGCACCGCCGCCTGGACCCACCCCGGCCCAAAGGGCGCGAATACGGGCGCTGAACATCGACCGCTTCTCGCGCTTCTTTTTCCCTTTCCTGTTCGCCGTGCTGAACGTCACCTATTGGATAATGTTCGCCGAGTATATTTAGACAGTGACATCGGGAACACTGACCGCGGAAACATCGCGCGCGCGCGCGCGCGAGAGAGAAAGAGAGAGAGAGACCTCAAGAGGAGCACGAAGAAGGGGACGAGCTCTTTGCGAGAACACTCCGGAAACACGTTGAGAGAGACGAGGGATGTTTCGGATAAAATTTGTCACTGCGATAAATTTTTACTCGAAATATCCCTCGTCTCTTTCAAATTTATGTAGTCACGTCGATCCACGAACGAAGATGGTGGAGAGTTTCGCGATTGGTGAAGATCTGACGGAAGTCTGGAGATCGAAGATACAATCGGTGCGAGTAACAATAAAATGTAGCGATGGCTAACGGTGACAAACGCAGAAATGTCTAATCTTCTTAGAATGTCGCTCCTCCGGGGAACTTCAATCCTTCTTTTACTCTTTTTCTTATAAGGTAGAACATTTTATTATAACATTACCTGTTATCATGGTGCACTCGCATGTTTTCTCTGACTGCTCACTTTTTTCGTCCGCTCGGCATAGATTCGGTATGTAACATATATATAATAATTACGTTTCATGAGCTATGCGTGATGTGTAATTTTATCGCTAAATACGCGTACATACAAAAGCAAATTTTACTTTCTTCTCTCTGCCAATTAGACATTTCAATTCTAAAAAAAATGAATCGTGCAAATTGTCGCGAATTTTGCTTTTCAAAAAGGACGTTCTTGTTTGTGAACTTTATTAATAAATTTATAAAACTTCTCCGAGAATAAGTAGGAAATTTCGTCGAAATAGAATAGAATGATATACAGTAAGGTTGCATATTAATTCGAATAAATTTAGAAAGTGGCAATATGTTTAACTCAACTTATCAACTTCATATGTCGCTTTGTTCATTATGTAATACTCATGATACCCATAATTCAAAAGGCCGAATAGAAAGTTCATAGCTATTGTCGGTCGTTCGCGATAATCTAACAACCTTGTACGAAATAATATCCCAGTGAACACCGAGCATCAGTTAAATTGCATTTATGTTATGTAATTTCTCACTCAACAACGTTAATGTAATATAACACGTGTGTTATATTATATTTACATTGCTGAGCGAGAAATTGTAAGATAAATGCAATGTAACTAATGCTCGGTGTTTACTGGGATGTCGATTCATGATTCATAAATATTGCCGAATCGCAATCAACTGAACTTTGCGTCATCAAAACTTGTAACAATGAATGTTTCTTGACATAAATCTCTACTGTACGAATGTATCATTAAAAAATATATCTAATAAAGAAATTAATGAAAATCCGTATGGCTCAAATGTGATAAACACAAATTTAAAGGAATGAAAGAACTATGAGCCGTAACAGGGTGTTAGTGTCTAAATATTTCATACTTTAAATTTATTGCGAAAAATATTTAATAAAGAATTATTATGTTCTTTCGCTCATAATTACGTCTATCTCGTCAATGTCAATCAAATTCTGATTAACCTAAATTGCTTTAATTATTTTATCTTCTTAATTTTTTATGTTCAATATTTTTTTATTGTGACCATTTCTTTTTCCTAATTAAAAATTTTTGTTTTAAATTATGCATACGCCAGTAAAATAAACAACCATATTGCACCCTATTGAGTCTAATGTTTTATGTACATCTATGTACATTGATAAGACACATAAATATATTGCACTTTATTAGAGTTAAAATATGCAACAGCTTTTTACCATCGTTTTCTTATATACAACAGTTTTTCCAAAGATTTTTATACATGGTAGTCCTTTTCACGGTTATGTAGAACAATGTTTCAACACAGGCGCCTTGGTCCCTTTTTTATACTTTTTTTTTAAACTAAAATCCTTCTAAACCTAATAGTTAAAGTGTTTAAAAAAATGGAAATGATAACATTTTATTATATATCAAAATACCATTACATTACATAAAATAAATCTTCAAAATTAAATCTTTAAAAATTAAAATCGTTTTTAACTTTCGTACATTAGTTACCATTGTCTGTTCTATCATTGAAGACAATCGATTGCGAGAATCATTACAGCCATATGTGCCCTCTATTGGGGCTAAGCAATACTGTGGGAATACGGGACGACAGACGTCGTTAGTAAGAAGGGAATCTGTTGGCTTACACTTTTATTCTCCGCCTACTTTCAACCCCCACCAATTGCGACCACAGGATCGTAGCACCCACGCACCGAACCAACAGATGAAGGTTGGCGCCCCAGTGACGTGGAGTGTCATAAAATATCATTTTGTCCTGGTTTCACTTGGTATCAATATATTGATGCACGATCGCAATAAAGACTGTTGTAAATGCGAATTTTATGGGACAATAAAACTCTGCAATAATACCTACCTGTTGCATAAGAGTTATTTATTTTGATTTACATTAAGAATTATATAAATTTATTGCACGTGATATAATAAAACAAGAAATTACTGCAAATTTCTACAAATTATACAAAATGTCCACTTTACAGTGATCTTGCAATCACAAAACCAAATTCGAAAAAGACGAAAGTCCGCACGAGCATCCTTTTGATATAAAGCATGTTTATAGCAATTTGTATTGTACTCGTTCTGTCACAACTAGTGCAGTTGTCTTCGTGGATTGAATTTTCACTAAAATAAAGAGTGGAATATAATTTTACGTGCCTCCATTATGAACGACTTTCTTAATTAACTCAATTTTTTGCTGCGACTCTACGTCGCGCGATGCGTTATTAATGTGTAATTATGTGAAATTAATTCTACCGGATGAAAAGCAAAATTGTCGCGGACACAGTCTGATATAACGAATCAGTACACTCGCGCGGGGGGGAAACGGAAAGTGGGATCATCGCGGAGGAAGGAAGCGTAGCGTGGGCCGCCTTATCTGTACAACGTAGCCCGTCCACGATAGCAGGATGCCATTGCCTTCTCTTCCTCGTTTCGCCTTTCCAGGACGGTTCGCTTTCCGTCCTCTTCCGCCGCGCGCGAAGATACGCGTCATCGAAGATTGGTGGGAATCGGGAGCACTGCGTGCAGCAGGCCCAGTATTGTATTGCTGAAGTATAATTATATACTCGGACGAAACAATTAATTCGCTATCTGCTTCCCGGAGTTAACGACAAATGCACGAACGTTTTATCTCCCTCAAATAAACGCGAGTACTGTTTTCAATGTTAAATGTAATTTAGAGTAAAATTTTAATATAAATATATAAGGGAGGGATTTACTGTTCTTTTTTTACCTCTAACTTAGAAAGGCAGTCCCGAAGAGACTGAGAGTGGACGCTCACTTTGCGAAATTTAAGAATTACCCACCTTGGGATATAATATTTCTTTGTCGCGGCCCGTGCAATCAATGATAGCGCAGCTGACATTCTTTTCTTTTTATATTATCCGATCGAGGGCTGAAGCGAAATGAAATAAATAGATTTTCATATCGCGGATTGATATGAAATGTATACCGTTTACATCTGCGGCAATTCGGGTGTCCCTTGAACAACGGACTTCACAAAAGACGACAGAAAGAGCGAGTGAGCCGCACATGTGCGCCGCGGAGTAACATAAGCTTCATGTAACGGGTGTGCGAAAGTGTCGTATATTGACTCGCAAGGGTCCAAATACAAATTGGTGCGCCGACAGATTCGGGATTCTCAATCTTTTGCGATAAAGCCTCTCCGCGACGTTGCGTGTAGCGTGTACAAAAAGAAAACCGATATCAAGCGATAGAACATTGACCCGCGATAGAAGAAGACCTATGATTTGCGCTGCACGATTTATAGAACGAACGTTCCTCCTCGCTGCTCCCGAGAGAGCACGTAAACATGGCAGAAGTCTATTAATATCTATTTAAACATAAATAAGACGTATTCGGCGCATCGACATTTCAACGAACACCAGTGGACTTCTCGCTTGGAGAACAAAGCCGCGTCTTCGCACGCTGAGGCTCGGCGATCCAAAGCTTGGGCGATGTTTTGGAAAAAAAAGGATCACCCTTTTCGCGTACCCGGTGTAAAAAATAAACCTGCGCCTACATCGGAATTTCAGTGACCTCTGCCTGAACCTTGCTCCGGCAATGCTCACCGAGGCCCGCGCTCGTTCTCTCGCTCTCTTCTTGCCTGCGGCCCTTACCACCCGCCGTTCGGTCCCCGCTCGTCGCATCACAAGCCCAAGCTCGTCTCGTTTTCCCTCTCCGTTCCGTTGCCACCCGTGATGATTCTATGTACGGCACTGACGGGCACGAGACTCGGAGACTCAGAGCGGAGTCGCGACCCGACCAGCCGAGGGACTCACTTGCGAGAGACGGCGTCACGAGGCGCGTCCGCGAGGCCGCCGCGATTTTTTTTTTTCGTTATCCGTCGCCCGCCTCGCTTTGCGAGGGTGCACCCGCACCTGCCCGACGGATCCCTGCCGTGTCGTTATCGCACACGTGGACAAGACACGGCGGCCACGAGGAGGAGGGACCGAGGTGATCCGGCAGAGGGGAATTCCGATCTCGGTGCTCGGCGAGATCTCGTACGTTCGTACCGAGTCCGGAGGAGAGCGGCGGCCGCCGTCTCTCTCGAGGGAGAGAAGAAATATCCCGTCGACCTGCACGCGTGAGGGAACGCTGCTTCAGCGTGTTCGTTAGCGTAGGTGAGCCCCATTAGATGGTATTGACAATCGTTAATCGCGACGGAAATCGTTACGCAGGTGTGCGAAAGTGCGTTTCGCGTCGTTCGTCGAGCGCTGCCTAATCGAAACGCGCTCTCGCCGCCTCGAAATTTAACAATTCGTTAACGATTCGGACAATTATATTAAAGCAATTTGCCCGCTGGCATTAGAACGCTCCACGTAAATGCGTTTCTCTTATGCTTTTGCTCCGAATTAAATAATTGTTCTAATTAGGTATTGCGCTAAGTGTCTGCACCGAGTGCCTCTTTCGTTTCACTTGGTACCGTTTAAAAACCGACGAATTTGTTTAATACAAAGTAAAAGTTCTGTCGACAGGAATTTCTTTTACTTTTTAACTTCCGCGACCAAAATTCAATGCGCGGCCCGTCGCGATTTTTCCGCGGCGTATGCGGGGCGGATTTGCAATATTTTGGGACTATTTTATTTTCGTAGAAACTCACGAACCGTCGATGGCTTAGCGTCGCTGCGAAAAATCCACAGAGCAGAGGCAGAATAAAGAAACGGAAAAATGCTTCGCACTCATTACGGGCACGTGGCTCTCGCAGCTTTAATTATACTTATTACCTTAGCAGGTACGTAATAATTGATATGTATTAATTTATACTAACATTGAGTCTTCACGATTAAACATAAAAAGTGGAGATACTTATTCGTGGTATTGAATCTCAAAGTTGGAGATTCTCTCGAGATGCATTCTTGAATTAAATAATTGTAAATGAAGAATGTACAAACCCATACAGCACGCGTGTCTAAAAGACATCTTTAAGAGGTCTTTAGGTCGACTTAAAGACGTCTTAAAGATGTCTTTTAGACATGCGTGCCGTATGGGAAGTCAAAGTTTCTCGAAGTGTCGGTTTAAATGCCGTTCGCACTTTCGCCGCGTTTCGACGCCGTTTTCGCGTACACGTGCAAAAGAAGCCAATTTTGCGACAAAATTCTTTCTCCCGAAAACATCGCTCGTCCCATTCATGTAACGGCGGTGGGCTCTTTATCCACTACGATTAGATAGCGAGATGACCTCGCGACCTGTCTTCCTTTTGAAACCGGCGAGCTTGTGTATTTCGGCTTCTAAAACCCGGGCCGCCCTACGAACAGAGATCGCCGCGCCGGGATTAATCGATTCCGATCGTGAATCAAGTTCGCGTACGATCGTTTATGCACGTGGCGACGCCGTTGCGGGACACACAGATCTACAGCACGAGCCATTTCTCTTAATCTACAGATATCTTTGTATCCAAGGCTGATTTGCAGCTCGGAGAGTTGATTCGTAATTTGAAGAGATGAGAGATATTCGAAATATAAAATTGGGATCTTGCAACAGAGATTGTCCCGTCTCGATATAGTGTCGTAAAGAGTCGGCCGAAAGATCTATCTAGATTTGAGACACCCCGTATTTCGAAGCTTAAAGGTACTTTCCAGAGCCGTCTTCTCTCGTAAACATCCGGCTCTCTTTCGCGATAGCCTCTACCGGTAGTAGAACATCTCTTGATAAACCGGCACGTTCTAGCGTTCATCTGAAACAATTCCGACAAAATTGTCGTCGCATTAATATTAATATTGATACTCGGCGCGGTCGTTATCGTCGCGTTTCAAAAGGAATCGGTGAGCACAGCCAATCGTTGCGTCCTGCGTAATTCGGTTTTGCATGGCAAAATTACTTTTCATTTTGTGCCATTTATTCCCTCGAGAGAAGCGAAAACACGTGTTTTCCGCTTGGCACTCGTCGACGCACGTGATGTAAATATTTTAAATCTTTGCAGGACCTGCGAGTTCTCAACATGAACGAGAAAAAACGCTAGCCAGAGGTAAGACCCAGGTTTTCTAGAAATTCATTACTTTTTTTCATTCACTCCTCTTGTCACGAAAGAGTCACGAAACGACCATTGTGAGCACGTAGTATTATCAATGGTCTTATCGGAGAGTGACGAGCGGCGAAAAAACGCGATAAAACTTTTGCGGCAACTAGGACGCGCGCTGTATAATTATACACAGAATACAGAGGCGAAAACGGGGGTGTTTATAGGATCGGTGCAGAGAGGGGATATGTCACCCATGGATGTGGTGACAGAGAGTCATATTCGGCTAGGGCCGACCGTTCCCAAGTCAAGAGGTAGACAAAACATGTTCATTCGGGAAGCGGGCAGAACCCCTTGACGTAAACAGATCCCTAACGAATTGACATTAGCAAATTGACATTTAACAATGCGAATCATTGTTCTAACATGGATAATGTTTTATACATTAACAGCGAGAGAGTCCATTTGCCGTAGGTAGTTAACTCTTTCTTGCCGTTTTGAGTCTCCATATGCGTAGAGGAAAGTCCCTTATTACGAGACAGGCTTCTAATATGAGATAGGAGGTCTTCAACATCGAAATTCAATCGCAAATCTTTTTCGCGAAGATCACACGATCTGACAAGGAATTTTCCACTGAACATACTTCACTCCCGGGGCAACAAATTCAGGCTGGAACCAACAGAGACTCATATCACGAGCTTATCTCATAATAGGGGACGTTCCTGTATATATTTACCAGATGTACGTTTGCGATATATTCCAATTCCTCCTGTAACGTGGTAAAGGTTTCGTACGCTGTGCTAATCGGAAACTAATTGGGGTAACAGGGGAGATTGTGCCTTTTTCCACACACTTTAACGCATATCGGCATGGATACCGATGGTGTTCTAATTACAGGAGAAGACAATAACCGTACGGCTAACAGAGCTTGCGTTGTATCTCGAATTATAAAAGGTTAATGAGAAACTTTTTCGCGCCATGCAGGATCGCACACGAAGAGACCGCATCCCTGCGAGCAGAGCTCGTGTTACCCGGCGACCGGGAACCTGCTGATCGGTCGTAAGGACAGACTGAGCGCTTCGTCGACGTGCGGCCTCAGAGGCCCCGAAAGATTCTGCATCGTTTCTCACCTTAAGGACAGAAAGAAGTGCTTCTTCTGCGATGCGTCGATACCTAAGCAGCAGCACAACATTGAGAACATCGTCGGCGGGTAAGATATCACTTCACTGTATAGTCGCGAGATAAGTCCAATTTAAAAATAAGCCTTTCAACATAAGTAGAAATGTGCTTCGTTAAAAATGAACAACGGCAACAAAATATGTATATCAAATAATTCAAAAAGTACAAATTTCCAGGGCAAGCTGGTGGTGGCAAGCTGAGAACGGGGTGGAGAATGTCACGATACGCTTCGATCTCGAGGCAGAGTTCCACTTCACGCACATCATTATTCGCTTCCAAACCTTCCGACCGGCTGCCATGTTAATCGAACGGTCGTACGATTTTGGAAGGACCTGGCAGGTGTACCGGTACTTCGCTCACAACTGCGAGAACTACTTCCCGGAAATCCCGACCCACCAGCCCCAAAGATTAACAGACGTCATCTGCGAGACGAGATACTCGGCTGTGGCACCGTCCGCCGGCGGCGACGTAATTTTCAGGTAGAACGTACACAATTTTATATTATTTATCACTCGTCATCTTATTCATTATTCAATACGTCACTTATTTATATTTTAGACTCATTTGAATGCGTCAACGCTTTGCTTTCATTTCAACTTTCTCGCGCGAAGAAACTGCGCTGGTCGAGCGATTCGGATTATAATAATATTAATCACGTTATTAAAAAAATGTCATCTTCTTATTGTTATATTTTAGGGTGTTGCCGCGAAATTTGGAAATTGACAATCCCTATTCAAAGGAGGTGCAAAATCTATTAAAGATCACCAACCTCAGGATCAACATGACGAGACTCCACACCCTGGGCGATGATCTGCTCGACGATCGGGCCGAGATTCGCGAGAAATATTATTACGCCATCCAGAATATGGTGATTCGCGGCTCGTGCTCCTGTTACGGGCACGCCTCCAGGTGTTTACCTTTACCAGGAGTCGTCGATGAGGAGAACATGGTTCACGGCAGATGCGAGTGTACGCACAACACCAAGGGCCTCAACTGCGAGAAGTGCGAGGACTTCTACAACGACCTGCCGTGGAAGCCCGCGGTCGGCAAACAGACGAACGCCTGTAGGCCTTGCAATTGCAACAATCATACCAATTCCTGCCACTTCGACGAAGCGGTCTACGAGAGATCGGGCAGAGTGTCCGGTGGAGTCTGCGACGATTGTCAGCACAACACGCGAGGGCAGAATTGCGAACAGTGCAAGCCATTTTATTATCACGACGTGACGAAGGACATTTCTGACCGAGACGCTTGTCAACGTGAGTTTTCAATCCACATCAGTCGCTTTATAATCTTCGTATAGCGTGTAATTTAAATTTTCGAGGTGATTGTCCGCGCTCTTGTTTTACAAGTAAATAATTATGAATTGCAGATATAAATTAGAGGAACGAATTTGTGTGAACTTGCATATGAAGAAATTAGTATCGTGAAATTGCAAATATATGCAAGTTTCTTTTCCTTTGCAGCCTGCGATTGCGATCTAGGCGGGTCCTTGGATGATGGCATATGCGACTCGAGAACCGACCCTCTAAGCGGCGACGAGTCCGGACGCTGTCACTGCAAAGCGAACGTTGACGGGCGTCGTTGCGATCGTTGCAAGAACGGCTTTTGGAACTTCGATCCCGACCATCCCGAGGGATGTCAAGGTAAAATAGGAAGTCATATTCAAGCACGTCCCGTTTAAAAAGACGTAGCTTCATCAATACTTTTACATAAAGCGTAATATTTAAATAAATATACATTCATTACATTTATTAACGGCATTAAGAAATCATTATTATCGGTCTATATTAATTATCTTCCAAATTCAATTTATAATCTTTCCTTCTAAGAAACAATATTGTATCATTGATGACAAGAATTAGTCGACAGATCTTAGGTGAAAAAAAGCTGGGTCAAAGGTTCTCAAAACTCGTAAAAAAAAGTCAATCACTTTTGCAATTGCAGCCTGCACCTGTAACACGTTGGGTACCATCGACAATCAGGGTTGCAACGTGGTGACGGGCGAGTGCACGTGCAAACGGTATGTCACAGCGCGCGACTGCAATCAATGCTTGCCGGATTATTGGGGACTTTCCGAGGACCGGGATGGATGCAAACCGTGCGATTGCGATCCCGGTGGATCCTACGAGACTTCCTGCGACGTCATCACCGGCCAGTGCAGATGCAGGCCGCACGTCAGCGGGAGAACTTGCAATCAGCCGGAACAGAGTTATTACACCGGCTCGCTAGACTTTCTCATTTACGAAGGAGAGCTGTCCAGAGCGACCGACGTAAGTTCCTTAATCGAATATATGATTTAAAGATATTTTTAAGCATTCATTTTGATACCAATGCTGCAAGCATTGAAACATAAAACATGAGCGCAACACAAAGAAACAACAAAAAGAGAGAGTTACTTCTCTCTTCAACTATTGTATCGACATTATATAATATAAATATATTTATATTAACAATCTCAATCTCTTTTGTTGCTTCTTTCGAGTTGCAATCATGTTTTATATTTCAACGCTCGATAAGCTTATACAATCTTCTTGTACTGATTGTACTGTCTTTTCAGAACTGTCAAGTGGTGATCAGAGAGCCTTATCGCGACGGCAGGAATAGTACGTGGACTGGCACGGGTTTCATGAAGGCTCTCGAGGGCTCGATGTTGAACTTCACCATCGACGACATTCGCAGATCGCTGTGGTACGACGTGATTGTACGGTACGAGCCGGTGCACCCGGGAGTCTGGGAGGATGTGCAGATTATTCTCGAGAGAGATAGTCTACCGGACCCGAACGGACCGTGCGCTGACTGGAGGCCCGAATACGATCGCCTGTGGGTTCAGTTACCTCTGCGCTCGAGAAACGCCATGGCGCAACCGGCTGTATGTCTAGAGGCAGGCAAACGCTACAATCTTCTGCTGCAATTCCGCAAGTTCAACAGCCATGTAGACACGCCTTTGGCCTCCATCCTAGTCGACTCGGTAATACATTTTGTTTCGATGAAGTTGTCGGTTGTCATCAAATATCATCTAGTTGATCGCATAATCTACACTTATTTGCATGCTCTCGTACGATGCAGATTATTCTGAAGCCGAGGATAGACGTGATACCCTTCTTCAAGACCCCGGGTCTGGGTGAGTTGCGTCGCCAAGAATACGAACGTTATCACTGTAATGAATTGTTTAACGATGTCAACATCGTCTGGAGCAACATACCCGAGGTCTGCAAGAAGTATCAGAACAGCATCGGCTATTACGTCTTCGATGGTGCTCATTGTAAGTTCGATCACGCATTGCCCGACGTCATTAAGTCTTCAATGATACACTTAAATTTTATGTCGTTTAATCGTCCTCGTTCAATTGCACACTTACGAGAGCGATGTTGAATTGCAGCTTGCGAGTGTAACCCAACGGGTTCTCGCAGTCTTCTGTGCGAGAACTACGGCGGGATGTGTCCGTGCAAGCCGAACGTGGTCGGCAGACGTTGCGAGCGTTGCGCGCCGGGAACCTACGGATTCGGCCCGGAGGGATGCATCCCTTGCGACTGCGACGGCGTCGGCGCCCTCGACAATTTCTGCGACGGCGAGACCGGCCGCTGCAAGTGCCGTCCCAACACCTACGGCAGGACCTGTGGCCAGTGCGAGCCCGGCTTCTGGAACTTCCCGCATTGCCAGCGCTGCGAGTGCCACGGACACGCGGATAGCTGCGACTCGAAGACCGGGGCCTGCATCAATTGCCGAGATTTCGCCACCGGGCACAACTGCGATCGTTGCGTCGACGATTTCTACGGCGACCCGCGGATTGGCGTGGATATACCTTGCAGAGCGTGTCCTTGTCCGGGTGAGTATGCTTTTTTTTGGAAGAGATTTTACACACCTGCTACATTTGTAATTATATCTGTGCGCTCTTTTTCGGTAATATAAAACTCAGCCTTTTAACAATTCAATCACTAGAATTAAAATAATAAGCTCAAAGTAAGACTCCTAACTAAAACTATACAACATATGAGAAAACGTCAATGTGGGTCACAAGGCAAGATGTAGGTAGCTCAACTTGTAATTTCTATAATTTTATATTTTAAATATAATTACAAATCGTTTATCGATTTGAATCTGTGAATATGCTGACGATAATAACTCCACCCGTAAGAAAACTGCGTTACGTCCGAAAAGAAGCCGGCGCGCGGCACAAATGTGGAAAGAAACGGTATATGAATTCACATTTTAAAATATAAAAATTACAAGTTGGGCTACCTACATCTTGCCTTGTGACCCACATTGGCGTTTTCTCATATGTTGTTTAGAATTAAAATGTCGTTGAACTGTGGCGTTCGCTCCTTAGTTATTCATTTGCTAGTTTATTATTGAAGTAAAAAATTAATTCCTTGTACTAAGCCATTATTTTTATGATATATTTTATGATATTTTATTTTAACAGGCACACCCGAATCCGGCCACTCCTACGCCAACAGCTGCTCATTAGACTCAATAACGCAGGACGTAGTGTGCGAGTGTTTCGAGGGATACTCCGGGCCCCGTTGCGAGCATTGCGCCGAGAATTATTTCGGTAATCCGGAGGTGCCGGGCGGTAGCTGCCAATTCTGCAACTGTAATAACAATACGGACTTGTATCACGCCGGTAACTGCGACCCGCACACCGGTCATTGCCTCCAATGTTTATTCAACACTGACGGCCCCAGTTGCGAGATATGCAAAGCGGGATTCTATGGGGACGCTCTGCGGCAAGACTGTCGAGACTGCGAATGCAACGTCCTGGGCACCGACAAGACCGTGGGATCGTGCAACCATCGTACCGGACAGTGTCCGTGTCTACCACACGTAATAGGACAGCTCTGCGACTCCTGCGAGGAGAATCATTGGAGGATAGCCAGCGGGCAAGGCTGCGACCATTGCGAGTGCGACCCGGTTGGGAGTGTTTCAGACATGTTAGTGTGCGATTGTCATAAAACTCGAAATTCTGCAATTTCTTATGGCGAAAGTATTTTCTTACGAGCATGTAGATCTTTGATAAATCTTGTAATTGAATTGATACCGATTTGATACCGACACAGTGGTCTGATCCATTTTCTTTTCGCAGCATAAAATCTCAAGGTAACTTAGGAAGAAGTTAAAATTGCTTAATCTTAAGATTAATTTATTCCAAATGGATTAGATCACCGTTTTACAACTTATCAATCCAAGAAAGAATTATGTAAAGCTGATTAAAATACTTTTGTGTGTAGATGCAACCGCTACGACGGCACTTGCGAGTGCAGGTCAGGATTCGGCGGTAGGCGGTGCAACGAGTGTCAGACAAACTACTGGGGTAACCCGAACGTGGAGTGTTACAAGTGCGATTGCAACCAGATCGGCTCTGCGAGCCAGCAATGCGACAGGGAGACCGGGGTGTGCGTTTGCCACAAGGGCATCGGCGGCGAGAAATGTAACCAGTGCGACCGCGGCTATCACGGCGTGGCTCCACAGTGCAGCCCGTGTGGCGAATGTTTCGACAATTGGGATCTGATACTGGACGGCCTCACGAACAAAACGAACGCGGTCATTCAAGAAGCTTCGAGGATACAGAAAGTCGGCACGACCGGCGTGTACAGCCAGGAGTTCGACGACATGGAGGAATCCCTGAATGAAGTGCAGGACCTGATTAGCAACACTACTATCCGGAGCCAAGACCTAGACGCGTTGGACGATTTGGCCAATGAGTTGACGAAGAACATCTCTAAATCAACCACGAAGTTGGAGGAAGAGAACACTCGCTTGGAGAATCTCAATCAGCGAGTTAATCTGGCCGACGTCGCGTCGAAGAAATTGAGGAACAGGACTAACAGCCTGTACGAGGCCGCCACCGACTTGCGGGAGAATGCCACGAGGTTACAGGAGGAGAACGTTCTGGGCGCTCTGAACGTGACTCAGCAGATGGCCGAGCAGTCCAGGCAGGCCGAGAAAATGGCGAACGACACCACGAATGTCCTCGGCGATGCGGAACGATTCCGCAAGCACACCGAAAACCTACTGGCGAAGAACCGCGCGTCCGTGAATGAGGCTCAAGAGAGGAGCAAGGAGTCGTTGACGAAGCTGAACGAGAAGCTGAAGACTTTCGGCATGGCGATACCTGAACTGAATCTGCAGATGTGCGGTGACAACGTGACGGATTGTAGCACCGTTTGCGGTGGTGCCGGATGCGGCTTCTGCGGAGGATTGTCCTGCGACGTGGGCGCAGTCAGCAAGGCTAATCAGGCTTTGGATGTCGCCAAGCAGCAAGCTGATAAGATCAAGAGTCACAAGGATGAGGCCGAGCAACTGTTACGCAATGTAATTATCACTAATTTAGTTCTTTAAAATTATTTACGATTCCTGTAAGAATTAATTATGTCGTCGAGAATTATGTCGAGATACATATATTGCAAAAACAACTTATTCGCTTACCATTGTAATCTATAATATTGGTTTCTATGATTTAGTTGATTAATTTGATTTCTCAGATGAGCCAAATAATGCAAGACGCGACAGCGGCAAGATCGAACGCTCAAGACGCCTTCAACTACGCGTTGGAGGCACGCAACCGCTCCGATAAGATCATCAAGGACCTCTCAGATATAACCGAGCGAATCTGGAGCACTCTGAACGAGGACCAATCTACACCGGCCATGGTGAGAGACCTCGCGTACGAGGTGCTCGAGAAGAACATCCATCTGGAGCCGGATGAAATCACGCGGTTAGCCGATCGCATCAAGAGCATCGTGGGCTCTCTCACTGACTCGGAAAAGATTCTCGCCGACACCAAGGATGATCTGCAGCTGGCGCACGATCTCGAGGAACGCGCCAACCGCACCAAAGAGATGGCCATCGAGAAGCAAACCTTGGTGAAAGAAGTGATCCTGTTGCTGAACGATACGCAGAAGGCGCAACGCCAGGCGCAGGATACGATCAACCAAGCGGAAGCGGACGTGTCCAAGTCGCAGAAGGATCTCGCGGACATTGCCGATGTGACAAAGGCCGCTCAAATCCAGGCTAACAGCACCACGCAAACGGTGGAGGCACTGGATGCCCGTTTGAAGCAGCTTCAAACGCAATCGGCGAAGAACGGTTTTGTTCTGACGGAGATCGGCACGGAGTCGAAGAAGGTCGCCGACGAGGCGCAGGTGATCGACGCCAAGACGAAGAAACTGTCGGAGGAGTACAAGAGGGCGGACGAGTCACTGAATCAGCGGGTGAATAAGAGCAAGGGCGATATCCAGCGGGCGAAGAGACTCCTGCAGCGCGCCTCTGAACTGACGGCGGACACGTCGACCAAGTCCAAAGATCTGGACGGTATGGAGAGCGTTTATAAGGACAACGAACGGCTGCTGACGGACCTGATGGGCGACGTGGACGCGCTGACGGTGGAGATGGAGAGACACTTGGCGGACATCGAGAAGAAGTCGCAGGTGTACAGACAATGTTCCGCTTAAAATTGATCGCAACCAGGGAGTCACTCATCTTCCGATCGCGAATTTCTGCAAAGATACATATCGATAACCAGTGGATCTATTCTTCGTTATCACATTTGACACAGATAACTGTCCGCGCGGTAGAATCACTTGCTCCATAGACGAGATTCTTTTTCAGTGTACATCTCATTACCGCATTTACCGCGAGAGATATGTTAGATTTTATTAGTAAGGTCGGTGCTTTATACTTGTGCAATAGTCGTGAGTTTTACCTTGATTCGTAGAGAACGGATATGCGTATTTTCATATTGCATATATACAGTACCGGGCAAAATTATATCACCTTTCGATTTTTTGGGGGGGGGCATGATTTGTAGTGCGTGAATGAAAAATTCGAAAATCGTAATGTATTTCGTGAAATTTTAAATGTATAAATGCGTCGATATGTACGCAAATTCATGTGGGAAGGCATCGGTGATTCCTAGTGTACAAGATGCACCTGTTATCAGGTGTTTTACTGTAAAACTTTAAGCACATTCGATGCACCTTGACGAAAATTATGCTCGGAAAACCTAAAGGTAATAATTTTGGCCGGTACTGTATATACACTTGGCATTCGCAACTTATTCCACATAATCTTGCGAAAGGCGCAGAGATTATTATTAGTGCCATAAATATAAATGGAGGGGCCATTAGTAGTTGTAAAGAAACGATTTGTACGTACATCAGTTGAAACATCGCTTCAATCGAGGTATCTTTTCTAGCTTTTAGCTTCGCTAAATTCTTCCTAATTCTTCTTGCAATCTTCATACTTTTCTATTTCGTAGGACACTTTTTTTACTTTTATAATAAGAATATCGTATACAAGAGTATAAGAATTTCTATCCGCTGATACATATGTACGCCAATTTATTATCACACGGTACTTAAAGAAACATCGTAGCGAGGTATTAAGCTCGTGTTCCATAAATAATACATTAAAGATAATTAAAAGGAGTAATGTAAATAATTAAAATACACGTAATACAGGATTAAGATGTTAAAATAGATATTCTGCAACGGATCTACCGAATATTCGACATATCGTCGAGACACGCACATTTATCTACAAATGGACAAAAGTTCAAGTGGCCTTGTCGATTATTACAATGCCTGTAAATACTTACAGTCTGCGTATCTGTAAATATCTAATATTACTTATGAATTCACGATGTACGACGGCTTTTTATCTCTAGACTTTCTCATTTTTCTTTTACAATTTCAGTCATAATTCTCATTATAAAAACATGACAAAACCTCACGCGAGAAATAATATAAAAATAATAATAGAAACGCCGAAAATTCGTAAATGTAATTATTCTGACGATACAAGGAGCGAAAGGAACAAAGGTTTTGTTATTTATATCGTCGTTGCACGCGATCGACCCTCATACTTTACATCGGAGTTTCGTTTGAAAAAGGACGAACGATGCTATGATCAAGCCAAAAAGAATTCAATGATAATTTAATGTCATATTACGCATAGCGATATTAAAATACTGTAATGTTAGAGAAAAATAAATGAGTTGCCAACAAGTAGGATATGGAGCGGCTATATCTCGGCGAGTCTGTCGATCCTTAATTGCGCGTCGTCTTACAGTTACATTCGAACACAAAAATCTTTCTGTTATTTTCATTTCTATTACATTTATAATTTTGTACTTGCGTTAGTGTGTCTTGTAGTATTTTGTTATTTCATTGAATGTAACGTGTAACACGATATGTAGATAAGCACATACCCAAGTGAACCTGAATAAATCAATTTAATAAATATATTCGGCAACTCTTAACGATACAACGACACCGTCATGAAAGTTACACGGAGAGGCCGATGTGGTTGCCACATGTCTAATTAGGGTCGGCACAACCCCAATAAATAGTAATATTTGGGACAGCCTATATTTGTGGTTGTCATATCCACATTGGTGTGATAAGTAGTGGAGACAACTGTGTGCGTTTTGTGCAGCAAACTTACAAGTAAACTGGGGACACACCGATTTTGATGATATAAAAAAATGTGTCCCTTATTTTCAGCTAAAAAAACAACATATTCAACACTCATAAAAATCTGTGTATCCCCACTTGGGTAGGTTCACTCGTCAGTGAATGTTGCAAGGCGAAACAATGTAGGTGCCCCTACTATTTACACGGCAACACTTTAATTTTAGTTATTTTTGCCTCAGCCGATCTTTCCGTGTACGGATTCAGCCTGTATAGACTTCACTAATAATGAACACAATTAAAATGAAATACAATATAATCAGGTAATACAAGATATTTTAAATAAATTAAACTCCAATTGGGGAATTCGTTCTATCGTACGTACGAAGAATTTGCCTTGCGATTTAAAGCAATCGCTCATCTGCATGATGCATGTACACGCCGCGTCCTTGCAACTTATTGCGGTATCGCGCAAGGAAATTGTCGGACACGCGATATCATCGGCGATAAAATACTTCCTGTCTTATGCCGCGTGGTTTTTTTTTTCATTAAATAATGACACACATGCCAGTGTACGCGACCACCTAATCGCGTTTATCAAACGGCCGGGACCGACGTGACTGGAACGAAGCAGCGCCGTTGCAGCCCATCGATCTTCCTCGGCGCATCGTGATCGATTCGTAGGGCCCGGAAATAGGTTTTGTTCGTTTATTATTACAGAGTCCGATTACACATCGGGAAACCATGTGCACGAGTACGGTCCCCCTCGTTGCAGCATCGAACATTTCGACTCCGATCCCGAAGGGGTTCGGGATTAGCCTCTCCCGGAGGATAAACGGAGAGGAATGTTCTATTTGTCATTTCTGTGCATTCCTTAAAAGCGCCCTTTCCCTGACAGAGCCGGAGCCTACGCGCGCACGCACGAATATTTCGTGAATAGCGCGCACTGTTGAATTCAAATGGCGTATGCGCGCTCGGCAGGCCGCGTACAATGGGTTCATTCAGTACGCGAATCAGTGGTTCTCCACGGAGGTGAGAAGACCAGAACGGCACGGAGAGAAGCTCGAAAATTATTTACCGCAATGACGACTCAGTTTCGAACCTTTCCTCGAAGATAAACTCGAAATTTTCCCCACTGCGCTTTTTAAAGAACCGTAACAAAGAGGTGAGATAAACACGCAGAAGCATCTCTTGCAGCCAAGAAAGATTCCCTTTTATCGAAAATATATTTGGATTTTCAATTAACTGAAGATAACTGAAACAACATAAGTTCAAATAACTGGCGCAATTTTATAAAATTATTCCTATCCCACGCCTTGTACGGAAAAAGAAGAAGTAGAAGGCGATCTCTGGGGTATTAAAAAATGTTCGCCAGCAAGGAAATTGAATAAAGAAGCGTCGCAACATATTTCTCTCTGTTAAATTGAATTGGAGCGTTCGGGCATCCTCCAACGGGAATTATTCATTGTTGCTTCGTGACACCTTTAAGCCGGCGATGCCCGGATTGTCCGACTGACCCGCGCTTCATTCCGGCACTGAGAGCTGCAGTCAGGGCACGCGATATTATCACGGTGACTGATGATGCATGAACGCATACATAGCAAATAAATAATGCATCATATCCGAGAAAAGATTCACTCGGCGTAGCGAGTCTCGTTGGGAGCCGCCACGTAATTTTCGATCGCGAGTTTTTTTTTTTAAACGCGCGTAACTCTACGAGGCAACAAGACTCGCTTTAACAAAATCTGAAAAACGATAAACGATAATGGTAATCGATCAATATTTGTACAGAGATTACAAAATCCTTTGAGTATTTACCTTTCAATGTATTGCGACGATATTGGCCGGAGGGCAACTTTATTCCCACGAATTTCTTCGACGAAATGTTCGACGATAGATCATGTAAAAGTTTCTCTGGATGTTCTGTCGGGCGAATTTTGCCACGCAGATAAAAATAAATGCAAAAGAAATACATTTTAAGTGACGTAAAGTGAAATATATATATAACACTTCCAAATACAGGGCGCACTCTAATTTTGTATAAAAATTTATCGAGTAAAATAAAGATCCCAAATTCCCGGCCGCCCCTCGTTGCTCGAGATAGACGTTTGCTTCAGTCTTTGTTCCTTTTACGCGTGGTTAACCACGAAACTAATCTACAACACATGCGTGACTTTAACAACTGTTAAATTGTCTGCGCGGTTATCGTCCGTTAGACGGTAGAGCTTTGAATATATTCCATGCATAGAAATATATTTTGCTATAAAATCACTTAGACGAACGTCAATCTGGCGCATTCCAAATTTTTTTTCTCTCAAATATCAACGCCGTGCAGCCCACCTCGGACAATTTATAACGAATAATGAATACGATTCAATTTCTAATCTCGATATAACGCGAAAACGATAACTAAAGATAACCGAAACAATACAAGTTCAAATAACTAATGCAATTTTAGAAAATTGTTCCTACCCCACGCCTTGTACAGAAGGAAAAGAAGTAGAAAGCGATCTCTGGATTATTTAAAAAATTTCGCCAGCAAAACAAGCTGATGGAAATCTGCACTGAGAAAATTTTTCATCGGATAAACCCATTAATTTTTCCGATTAAATTATGGATATATCCGTTTGTTATTATGTCATTGGATTATCCGATTATATTTAATTGGACATTTCTCTCAGGGTGAATACACATGTTGCGTTTGTACAATTGATCAACTCGAAAAAATGTTTAATTAAGCACAAATTATCAAAGCTCATGATTCAAGAGGAACTGCTGCATTCATTATTTAGATGCATAAAGTCACTATAATATAATACAGTACGGTGCATTAGTTCGCTTCGAATAGTAATTACGGATGGACAAAAATTACTCGATTATTTAAACATAGATACTTTATGACAACACGACCTGAAACGAATTAATGCACCGCGCTGCACCCTCAGAAAGGATTTCTGTAACCGAGACAAAAGATATTCTTGACGCATTTACATTTCTCACAACCTCATTTAGTATAAAAATAGGACAATGTCAAAATAATTCTTATTCTCGTCTATCGAATTAAAAACGATTGACTTACTATATTGAGACGAGAGTAACTTATATAAATGTAAGTTTATATATTCTTGCGTTTAGAATAAATTTGCCCACCATCTTACAACGCACGAAGTTGGCAGCACGATATTCTGCAAAAGACGATACACACCATCATTTTATTCTAGATTTTAGAATTTTTCATTTAAGATTAAAAAATATTCCTCTCTCTATAACAAATACGATTGGCGCTATATCGATCCTATTTTATGATACATCCAAGTGTAATAGCGTTGGATCCGGAAATGTTTTCTGTGGTTGCGTACACCTGCAGGAAACATTGAAAATCGTACTCCTGTATAAAACTGCTATTTTTGGCTTGCGTCACTTGCGCGCGGGCGATATACATGTATATAAAATATATATTAAAATCCAGTCGCGTACATCAGAGCACGCGGCAGGGCAAATTATAAATAGGATTCCAACGCGATTATTATAGATCGTCGAAGGCGCACCGAAGACACCGATATACTTGTGCCGTGCAGAAAAATGTGAAATATTCCCTCGATCGCTCGCCGAACTCGGTGCGCACGGTATCGTGTTCTCTCGCGACGCGTGTTTCCCTCTGCGTAGCAGGGGGATCCGCGCGGGGTCCCGAGGCTTACCTTTAATCAGCGAGAGGAGCCCGACACAGCCGGCCGTAGCGGCGCCGCGCCGTTGCCGCGCGGCGGGGATGAAAGAAGGCAGTAGGGTGAGTTTTATTTGTCGAGGGCCACTCCTTTCCGATTGTTCGGTGCCCTTTGTGGCCGTTGACAGCTGCTGCCTACGGAGGTAAGTCACATTCGCGCTCACCCGATCGCCCGGAATCGGGAAGCTGCGCTCGTTTAGTCGCCGTCTGGCCGGCGTGCCGGCCGTTATATTTACCGTCGTGACGATTCCCCAGGCGCGAGAGAGAAAGAGAGAGAGAGCGCGCCGAGATAAGCGATACGCGGCCTGTTTGTTCGCGGGATGTGAGCCCGGGGTGTTCGACGGCTTCGTGCATGCGAACGTGAATGACCTCGTGGTAGTGTGAAGCCGCCCGATCGGGCGATCCTGGTGCGAGCGAAGCACGTGCCGTCCAGGTAAGTCACGTGCGGAAGTCGGATTTCGAGAGCAACGTTCGCCACGTGCTGCGGGAAGACGCGACGGACCCGCAGGGCACGCGTATATTCGACGCGTATACGCGGAATGTACAAGTTTTCCCTAGTAGCACAGTGCATTGGCCAAACATTGGTTAAACATTGGCCCAATACAACCAAATATTGGGCCAATGTTTATCCAATGCACTGTGCTACTAGGGTTGCGAAAGAAATTAATTGTAAAAGTTAATTAGATGCAACTCTAACCCTTGGAGACACGCGGACTGGCCCTTCTAGGGATCGATTCTGTATCCTACAATACAGTGAAAGTGCTAAAAGGCTTTGGCCACGTTCAGCAGGCACAACTGTTGAGTGAGCTTCTTCTTTATCTTGTTATGGCACCTGGCTCCTGTATCGAGCCGACACGACCACGACGAACCAATAGTCTTGACTTGATGATATAAATCTCCTAACGTGTAATCGCGTTTTTAATGCCACACAATGCAGAGGCCCAACTACCGAGCACTCGCGCGGGATGATGCAATCCCTATTGGATGATGCAATCCCGCAGGATCAAAAATTTTATCTTCCGTCGAAAGACGTGTGAACCGCTCAACGGCCCAGACGGGACTTTGTTGAGTGAGCGCTCAATGATTTCTTAATATGATTGGCTGGATCTAAAAGTATTAACCAATCATACCGAGCGCTCACTCAACAGTTGTGTCTGCTGATTGCTGAACGCGGCCTTTGTCTCTTTCTAAGCGGACAGTTAGGAGGAGACAAATCCTGGTAGCACAGGATATTGGCGCAATATTGGGAAATAATGTAGATCTAGTATTCTCAATGTTGGTCCAATATTGTAAGATGTGCGCCTTCTCTTATTTAGCCAATATGTCCATTCAGCAATAATGGTCTAATATTGTATCAATTTTGGGCCAAAATTCTTATTACGTTGTTAAATATTGGCCAATGCACTTTCAATATAAATCTAATATTATATAATTATTATCGTGCAATATTTACATTTATTCCATGGCCAATATTGACTTTACATTGGGCAATATCGACCAATGTTTAGCCAATGTCTCGCACTGTGCCACTAGGGAAAGCCATTCACTCTTAGCATTTTCACTATAGTGTAAGATACAGAATTGACGCCCAGGACTAGCCGTCTGTTCCTACATTTTATCGGAAAAGAAGAAAATCACACGGGCACGAGAATAATAAAAAATAAAAAATATATATTACTTTTTTGCTCTTCTAAATTATTTATATGTAAAATAATTTCATTGTGAGCTGGGCTGCGTTATTATCAAATTGTGTTGGCTTTTCTCTCGAGCGAAAATTGCAAGCGCGAAGACGAAACATAAGAAAGGAAAACAAACGTGCTTCTTCTGGCGTTATCGTGAATGCACCGGGTGTCCAAAAGCACGCCTCGAGAATAAGTCTCTGTGCGTCCCCCGATGTCCGGAGCCCTTTCTATTTTTACGTTTAATTAACGGGCGATTAAGTGACATGCAACTTAGTAATCGGCCTTTATCGATCTCCCTCTTCCGGTGACTTTACATGCCGGCTCCTTCCAAAGGAAGATAAAGCGAGGCGCGGCCCGAGTTACTGGAATAAACTTTCGATCATGCGAGGCAAACAACGAAATGGATGAAAACAGAGCGAAATGGAGTGCGACAAATGGAATAAACCAGTCAGTCACTCTCATGATAATCGCGCACAATGTATACATCATCAGAGTCTAGTATCCTCCCGATCGCTATTTTTGGAACAACGCGCCTCACTTAACGTGCACGGCGCATCAAAATACGTTTTATAGACCCGATATAACAAAACGGAAGAAATTGATGACGATGTTGTGAACGTTGTGATTTAGCGGCAACGTACAGGCTCGGGTCCGGTTGTTTTCCTGCGAATATCGATATAAATGCTCCGAACGTAAGAATCGAAGATACGTCCTTTTTGTTCCCGCAGCAGAAGAGGATTTTCTGTAAAAACAAATGTTGTTTAAGTAAAAACTTCACTCGTTTAAATTGATTTCAAATTATTAAGAAAAAAAATCGTCTGCTCCATCTCAAAGAGAAGTTTTATTCCAATTGAAATCAACCCGAAATGTACGCAGATTCGATTGTTTTGAATATTCTTTCGCGATATTTGCCTCTTCCTTTATTCAATTTTACTTAAGATAATTGACGTATTTTTAAAGAAACGCCGTGCAGTTGTAACTACGAGTGTCTCGTAACGAATGTTTTAAAGTAACGTACGAAAAGTGAATTGCCCCGAATTAACATCGATGTATTACATAAATCGCTTTTGAATGCTGAAGTCGGAGCGAAAGTATACGCGCGAAGAACGGAATAGGGCGAAAGGAAAATATAAGAAGAGGAAGAAGAAGAGGCGGAGTTAAATCGAGTGCGTTAGATAAGAAGACTTGTTGGTGCTACTCGTAAAGGGTACACGCGTCGGCGGAGTTCGTCAGTCTGCGGGCGAGCGTCTGCCGAAATAACAGGAGCGGTTCGAGCACTCGCGTCGCAATATTTACGACACCCGCCAACAAATACGGGATCGACACGTAGTTAAACAATGAAACAACGTAACGTTAACTTTTGGAAATAAACCGGTGGATAAGTCGGCGGTGACGATACGCCAGACGGGAGGGGCTGGAAATTTCTTTGCGCGAGATCGCGATAAAACTTGCAAGAGGAAAGGAAGAAAAACTGTGACGGGCACGTGCATAATGTAGACATCTGGAGGTGCATGTTTAATTGCGAGAAAAACGAGTTCGTTCGAGGAACAAGTTGAATTGCAGCGATCAAGAGGCGATTACAGGGGAGGAAGAGAGGATAATTGGGGCGAATTGTTCGGAGATAGCGCCTTAATTGGACGCCATAAAGTACTACAGCAATTTCTGGAGGAACACCTTTCGCGAGTTAACAATAGCTACAATGTAGCGTCACGAAACTGTGTGAGCTCCTGCAGCCGTTCGAGGCCAAAGTTCACGTTGTTGTCTACTAGGCAGGGATCAGTATTCCGAGAAGGTCACAAAAATTTATCGGTATGACTAATAGCGCGTTCTTAACGGGAGAGCGAGCGAACGTGAAGAGATATGGAAATTAATTGATGCGGCGGGCGCGATAAGGCGCCTCGGAATATACGTCTCGAGGGGTGCGTGCTTCCTCTGTGCCTCTCTTTACGCGGCGAGAAAATTCAGGGAATCCACGCGGCAGATAGAAATCGCTGAATGAGAGAAGAAGCAGCGAGACGTGTGTGAACGAGCGCGAGTGGATGAGGAAAGTTAGCGCGTTTGAGTTGCGCGCGGTGCAAGGGTCGCGACTGTCCCGCGAGAGATAGGTGAATTCAGAAGCGGCCTTCGCGAGGACGCCGTGCTTCAAAATTAATCCGGAGAACCGCGAAACGAGACATTAGTTTTACAGTTTCCTTTTCTCTACTATTTTCCGTTTTCATTTGTTTCAAGTCTTATAAACCTCGGGGCCAATTCTGTATCTTACACTATGGTGAAAATGCTAAAAGTGGATAGCTTTGTCTCTTTCCAACCGTCCCCTTAGAGAGAGAGAGACAAAGCCGCACACTTTTAGCATTTTCATTATTCACCGTATCTTAAGACTTGGTCCAAGTGCCAGCATCGTGGACGCTGGCCTTAAGATACAGAATTGAGCCCCTGAGAGCTATCGGAGAAATTGGAAGATAAAAATTGTAAGAGCCGAACGCTCGAAATTGAGATCTCTTACGATAAAGCGAATTCTTCTGTTACATTTCCTTATTTTTTGCAGCACGCAGGTCACGGCGATCGTTGATTTTCCGAAGAATGCGAAGGAAGAAGGACTTGCGCGCTCGTTGAAAGATGGGGCACTTTGCGGCGAACAATACGATCTACGAGATCGCTTCGGGGGATGGAGACTTCAAACCATTTGCGCGATCCGTGACTATCGTCGCTGCTGCTTGCGCTATAATATTCAGCATTATTGGAGTATTAGGTTTTACACCCTTCGATCGCTCGTTTTAACGTCTGCAAATTTTTAACAGTGAGCTGAATCCGATATCTGAATTCCAGGCAATTTAATAACGGTGATCGCATTGTTGAAATACACCAGGCTGAGACGACACGCCACCACGGCGTTTGTGATAAGTCTGAGCATCTCCGACTTGATCTTCTCCGCGGTAAACTTGCCTCTAACTGCCAGTAGATATTTGAACGAAGCCTGGGTCCTGGGCGAGACTCTGTGCAAGATATTTCCCTTGTTCTTCTACGGAAACGTCGCCGTATCCTTGCTCAGCATGGTGGCCATTACTATCAACAGGCAAGTTTCGACGATTCTTTTCCTTTGGAATTTTTTGTGAAAAAGAGATATGTGTATTTTACATATATTTCCAAAATAATACATTAATATAAATTTGTCGAAAGACATATTAATTTTATATTGTATCTTAAAGATACGTACCTTGTTGAACGTCTCGAATAGATATTTGTAGAATATACGCTGGTAGTACTAAAATTTCGTTTTCTCTTCCAGATATATACTGATCTCACAGTCAGACATTTACAGCCAGTTATACACTAGTCGCGGCATAACGCTGATGTTAATAGTCATATGGACTCTAAGCTTCTTGATGCTGCTGCCGCCCTTGTTAGGCATCTGGGGTACCTTAGGACTGGACTCGGCCACCTTCTCGTGCACGATATTGAGGAAAAACGGCTCGAGCCCGAAGAAGTTCCTGTTTGTCTTGGGCTTCATCGTACCATGCGTGGTGATCAGCGTTTCGTATCTCTGCATATATTGGCGCGTGCGCCAAAGCCGGAAGAATCTCGAGGCGCACGCGGCGGAAAGCGGTCGACGAAGCGGTGGCTTTCAACGGCGGGAGGACTCCAGAGTGACCAGATTGATGCTCACTATATTCCTCTGCTTCCTGATGTGCTTCATGCCGCTGATGCTGGTGAACGTGATCGACGACAAGATGAAGGTTCCGATACTTCATGTAGTGGCGTCCGTGCTCGCATGGGCATCCGCGGTGGTAAACCCTTTCATTTACGCCGGCACCAACAAACTATACAGGGAGGCGTACAAACAGGTCTTGTGTCCCGTCTCGAGCAGAACACCCACGATCGGTCCCAAGCCGACGCATTCTCACTCGAGCAAGATCTTGTCGCCCCATACGATATAAAGGTATCTTCCTCTCCGGAAACAATCGATCGCATTAGAATTAGTGACAATAACGAGTAAACAGTTGACGCATAATAATATTAGTTTCTTTCCTTTTCATTACAAATTAAATGCTTGATCAGTACAGCGCAAACTATAAACAAGTAAAACCTTTTTTTTTACAGAGTTTAACTATAAGTGTGTTATTACGAATCTAGAAACAGTAGAATTTTGTTTGATTACAAATTTGTATTTATTGAACGGATTAAGTTTGTGTTAAAAAGTAGAAATTTTTCTTCGCCAAGCAAAACGATAAATGTTACACTTTTATTTCAACTAAGAAAGTAAAAGTAGCATGAGCAGAAAAGTATGTATAAAAATTGTATTTTTTTACCTTGATACATAAACATATTATAACGTTATAATATAATAACATATATTTCTATAAAAAAAAACTTGCATAATACAAAGTATATATGCTTTTGTAAAAAAAAGGACGGAACATACATATATAACAGAAACGTACTTCATAATTAGCAAATTAAAAAAATACGTATTAAAAAAATCGATATTGCAAAAGCAAAAGTACGATTCATATGGCATAAATCATATATAAAAAGTTTTAGATAAATATACTTAAAAAAGAAAGAATAGCATACTAACGTCTTCATAATATTGCATCTTCAGTTTTACATTCAGTTGGTCTTCGCGGTAATTTTGCTGATTATCCCTTTAAAGACGTACATTACAAATATACGCGCGTATTAATTTAATAATAATGATATTTGTACTTTTTTGAAAAGCGACGTTACTAAATAAGTACGATAATTTGAATTTAAATGTGCAAATACTAGAATATTAGTAGCTAAAAGATGTTACAAAAATATTAATAGATCGCGAAACCAATAGGGAATAAGGTATTCTTTTTATCTTGATTTTGACTACAAAAATCTCATGTAAAAGGAATAGATTGATGACGGATTTATAAGCGAATGTAATGTAGAAAAGTTGAAAAAATAAAATCATTTTCTACCGTAATGTTCGACGCATTATATCTACTATATTAAATATAATCTTTTATATCTTACTTCATTACTTACATACTAATCTAAGTTATTCATCACTAAACATGGACGGAATTAGTACGAATGCTCTCGCAACATCTACCTTACGTTACTTACATTATTATAATAAGATTTAAGTTTGGGATGCCAGAGATGAAATGCAGATATGCCACCTAAACATATGCGTACATACATTGGTAACGATAAAACCTATGAGATTCCGTGAACACAGTGAGATATTTACAATCTTCGCCACAGTTTGCAAGTTTCGTAAGTAAATGCAGATATGCTTAAAGATACGCCAGTAAGAACGTTAATTCAACTCCAATTCCGGCAGGTAGGGCTCCGTGATTGCCGTAATAGGACAAATACTCAAGGTGTCCTGTGAATAAAAAGAATAGAAATATTATTTTGAGTAACACAGAATCGTCGATTTTTCGTTTCTTACCAATCGTGTGAGCTCTTCGTACGTCGGCCGCTCTTCGAGATCGTCTCGCCAGCAGGACGACATGACCTCGTAAATCGGGTCCGGAACGTCTAGCAGTTGCGATAACCGCAGGCCTCGCGTAACCGCGTCCTCCACGTCGCTGTCGAGCGTCAAACTCGAGTACGGTGTACCGCCCATGCTGAACATCTCCCAGAGAAGCACGCCGAACGCCCATATCACGCCCGGCTGATGCTTCTTCTGATTGTCGAAGCACTCGATGGCCGTCCACCTCGCGTACTTTACGTCCTCCAAGGCGTACTTGCCGATACCGTGACCCAGAAGCTTCGGCGTCCAGTCGCCCGTCAGCCCCACGCTTCGCGCACAGAGGCGATTATGGACGATCTTGTGACTCGCCAGGTATTGCAGGGCAACCGCGATCGAGGACGAGATGGACAGTATCCGATCCACCGGGAACACGTCTCCCGATCGCGCGCCCAACAGGCGGTTCTTCAAGATCTGCGGCGGCAGCTCCATCACGACGTACAACGTGTCGGTGGTCTCGCAGGTTCCCACGAGGCCCGCGAGATACTGCATGGAGCCCGCACGGATGCACACGTCCAACTCTCTCAGCATGTGCCGTTTGTCGGATCCCTTCAGGGCGCCGTCGGCTATGGTGTGCACCGTCACCAGGCAGGACCCGTCGTCCTTCAAAACGGTCCCGGTGTGCACGCTGCCGAATCGCCCTCTGCGCATAACGTGACTGTCGACGGACAGGGCGTTCCGCGGTATGCTCCAGACTTTTTTCTTCAGCTCCTGGTAGTGATTCACTCTCTCGGGGATGTCGTCCGGGATGTAGCCTATATTGTCCACCTCGTACACTGGGCCTTGTAACGTGAGCTCCTGCTGCTCCGGCAGCTTCCGCATGTGGAATCTCTCGTGCCGCCGTCGCAGCACAAAGTACACCACAATCGCAACGGCGAGTAATATGCTCAGCAGCGTGATCGCTATGCAGAGCACAAGAACGGTCGAGTCCATTCGACTCGTGGCTGCCGTCTCCTCGCGGAACACGTTATTGGCCAGGTTGGAATAGGAACGTTGTACGTGCAGGCCTTCCCGCGAGATTACCGCCAGGCCGACCTGCGCGGCAGCATACTGGCCTTTCAACGGGACGTTGTGATAACCACCGTGCATCTTTCCGTCGCCTACGGTGAACTGTTTGTATTTGTGAAAGTCGGACGGGTCGAATTGCGCGGCAACGTAATAATTCAAGCCCTGCTGCGTCGCGCTGTCGTAGTTTACGTACTCGACGTCGGATTCGGTCGGTGGTATCGAGCCAGCCTGCGCAACGACAACCTGGTACGTGCTGATCGGTCCGTACTCGCTGTGACCCTCGGTAAGCTTAACGGTAATCGTGCTGTCTCCGCGTTCCATCACTTGGGGCATGGCCGGCTTGTCGGGGGGGCCAATCAGGGTCCACGCGGTGATGTAAGTCGAATTGCCGAGCCTCTGCGTGTTGCTGGCGGTAACAGATACGTTGTACTTGGTGCCAGGATGGAGACCTATCAGAGTCGTCATGTTCGACGCGCCCCCTTGAATCTGAATCTCGATAGGCTGCAGGATGTTGCTCGAGTGGGTCTTCACGACGACGGCGCGGATAGTATAAAACGTCACTTTTCCATTGGGCATGTCCGGCGGCTGCCATATTATTCTCAGAGCATCTTTATGCTCCTCGATCACCGATACTTCCCTCGGTGGACTCGGTCCTGCAAGAGATACATGCTTGTTCTCATTTTCACAAGACGTATTCTTATATATTGGGGATTTTACTGTGTTAAGCGTGCACTGGGGATGTGGTCTTGTTTCTTGTCACAGAGTACACTGCATGAGAAAAGTTAGACTGATGGCAGAGAACGATCCGCTTAAGACTGTCTTATGTCAGTTTTCGCCAACGTCATTTGACTTGGATCTTAGTTTAATTCGTCCTTTGTCTCTTTCTAATTAAAATCAAACTTAACGACGCTGGTGAAAACCAGGGCAAGGGCCTGAACAGAATGGCTGTCTTATACTCTTAAGAACAGCCTTAAGACAGTGTTTTATGTTTTAAGCCTTTGCCTTGAGTTAACGCACAACAACTGTCTCATGTCTTAAGAGTACAAGTCAGCCATTCTGCTCAGGCCCTTAGTCATAGATGTAAGGCAAGGCAGAACGTAGGTCATGAAAGGCTGTTACGCAGGGTGTTCCAGGAGGAAAGGTCAATATTCTGGGAGGTGATAGGTGGCGGTCATTTTAAGCAAAAATGTTGGTATGAATATATGTCCCATTCCCCACTGTTTTCAAGCGGCAGGAACCTGGAACGCCCCGCACACGACTTACTCTTTCCTCTGCTTTGCCTTATGTCTGCGACTAAAACAGACTGGCGCTTACGGGTCGTTCTCCGTCATCAGCCCTACGTTAAGTAGAGGATTTGTGTCGCCACAAACCATACCTTGCTGACCGGTAGCGTAAACGCTCATAGCTTTGTAGCTGCCGCAGTAGTTGTCGGGAGTTGCCTTCGTCCTGTCGGATATGCAGACGTCGCAGCCATTCGCTCTGCCGTTCTGGCCGAATTTGCTGAGGCAGTAGCACTGCTGCCCGTTCGCCAGCGCCACGAACCTGTCGAGCAGATGACAATCCTGAGATTCCCCATTCACACGCGACAACTCGTGCGTACCTAGGGCTCGCACGTCGCTCACTTACATGTAATACTGGGAGCGGCATTTTTCGATGCAATCGTCGGGCGATTCGGCGTACGCCAGAGCCGAGTCGGGTAGCTTGTAGCTGGTGCTGTCGAAGCAACCCTCGTACTGCAGAGCGCTCGCGAGATGAGCGCCGCAGAAGAGCAGGAGGAGCGCGATCATCGTCGTGTGACGCCGCGTCGGCGATTCTCACGCTGCGTTACCGCGTCACGTTGCGTGCCGCGGCATAGCGCGGCGCGTGAATATGAGTTACACGTTCGGAATGTGCGGGCACGAACAGGTATGAGTCAACGCACGCCGCGGTGCCGTCGCACGGCGCGGTACACGAGAGGGGAAAAAAAGTTACCTCCGTCCTGCCGTCGTACGAGGACGCTGGTCTGCCGATAAGTCGCGGACGGTTCCTCTCGGGTCGCCGGATCCTCCCATCTTCCCGCCCGCTTTCCCGCCGGTGATCGCGAGGGGTTTCCGTCGACGAGTAAACTGGAGTAAACCGGGGTAAACAACACCTGGAGCGGCTGGAGCGTCCACGTACGCCCCCGTTTTTTCCGAGTGCTGCACTCGCGCCACTCGCGCGCTAAAGCCTTTGTCTCAGGTTCGTGCCACGCTGAAGGAAGAAATGGCGAAATGAGAGAGGGAAGAAATCTCGAGGGCAAGCAAAGGGGACGAGATGCTATTTTTCTCGGCAGTCATGACTGACATATTTGAACGATCGAAAGTAAGATAGAATGATTTACAAATGTGGGTGTTTATAATTTTTTAATTGGGGAGGTTAGTTATTTATAATATTTTATTGACGCTTTTAGAGTCGTAGTCGTAACAATAGTCGACTGATTGGTCAATTCTTATTGATTATCTGATTAACAATCAGGCCTGGGGCTCGATTCTTGAATTCATTCGAAGGAGAAACGTGTGCGAAAATTCTGCTCTGACAGAAAACCTGAAAGTCAATTGGTTAAAAGCCATGCGAACTTACGTTGCGCGTTACGGCACTTATCCGACTTCGAATGGCGGTGCAGCGAAGCAGGTGCAGCTGCACTCTTATGTTACGCGTTGGCTATTGTGAAAAAAAAGGCACGAATGAATGGAGTTCGCGTCGATAATTCGCGCGGCCAACGGGATCAACCAAAGAGCGAGGCGATCGCGGCAACCGATCGCGAACGATCGATAAAAACTGGCCAGACAATAGACAGGATTTCCAGTCAGCAAAATGTTAGTAAATTGACATCAAATTGGCAGCAGATTTGTCAGAATTCGCACGGCGATTTCCAGTCAGCAAAATGTTAGCAAACTGACATCAAATTGGTAGAAACAAAATTTAGTTGACTCAACTGAATTTCTTGTTTGGATATGAGCAAACAAATCTTTCAGTTGATACAAGAAAAAAATTTAGTTGGAAAATTTGATACAATATTAGACCAATATTCTTATTGCATTGTTAAATATTGGCCATGAACTTCCGATATAAATCGAATTATATCATTGTTATCGTGCAACATTGACATTTGTTCCATGGCCAATACTACCCTTACGGAAAAAACACTCAAGTTTTGAGTGTCAACACTCGATTGTCCGAATTTACTCTCAAATTTGGGCGTGAACTCCCAGATTTAAATATTTACGCCCAAATTTAAGAGTAAATTCGGACAATCCAGTTATTAGCAATGCATTGGACGATATTGTCCAA